GGTCTGCATGGAAATAGTGTATACATGTATTAAAAAAAAGAACACTTTCGTGCTTCCAGACAAACTGTTTATAATTTCTCTTCTCCATCTAAAGGTTGTGGATGACCGTGTGGTCCCGGCATAGAATAGGCCACCCCTTCCTATCCTGTGGGTGTGGTAAGAATAGACTAAAGATGAGCAGAGGATGGGCAGCAACGTCACTCTTAAAACATCTCTAAAGCTTGACTGCGGTTGCCAATCCGCCTGCCAAGCATGGCAACTACTGGCAAAACCTCCAAGGGGGATGCTAGCGATAAGGTCGCCCATTGTTTTCTCAGTGTGACTTCATTTCTGTAATTGTTTGTATTTATAATAAGTTCACTATTGTAATCTTATGGTCGAAAGAGTAAAGGGTATCTATCTATCTATAATGCTGAAATGATGAAGATGATTTAGGATTACATTGTCAAGGACTGTTAGATTTGACTAACAATATTGTGTCATCACAGTGGATGTCAACATATCGCATTTACTTGCTAAACGGACTGAAGCCGTTGTGGATCTACCAAGGTCTGTGCTGGATTCTCCTAGACGTATCAGTTTTGTGGTGTTCCTCACTAACCGCGCCTTCCATTATAAAGGTGCAAACGTCATCAACAGCCGGGTGATCAGCATCAATGTTGTTAACTTGACACAATTCGACAATGAGGTAATTTTTTTCATACACCATTATACTACTTTTAATGTTTTGATAGAAGGGAATAGAAATACTTTATTTGCTTTGAATAGGTAATGACAAAGTTCTTATACAGTACATAAACAGTTTCATATTTAGCTAACATTAAGCCTTAAAATTAATAACATTAACCAATAATTAAGTTACAATTCATAATATAGCACCGTACATAGTATGTCATATTAATATTTATACATGTTTATGTTTGTATTGTGTGTGTGTGTGTGTGCGTGCATGCGTGCGAGCGGGCGTGCGTGCGTGCGTGTGCGTGTGTCTATGTTTAGCAGTGGATGATATTATTGTACTTTTAACAGTGAAAATAAAGTCTCACAAAACATTAATTACTGATTTCAGTCATAAGAATAAATATTTTCGTGCGTAACATATAATTTTCGGATGATCACATTTATGTTAAAATGAAAAAAAAGGAAAATTAAAAATATTAAAAGAAGATTTTAATTTTACAGGTAGTGAAACTACATTTTAGGCCAATGGAAGAACCGGAAAGGGAAACGAAACGTTCCTGTGGTTATTTGCAGTTACAGCCTGATGGTAACGGGTATTGGTCGCAAGAAGGATGCATCTTTGTCTCCTCAACTAGTTCATTCCTTCTGGATACATGTCTATGCGACCATCTCACCCATTTTGCTGAAATATTAATACCACGACCCAGGTTCTCGGAGTCTGACGAAAGAATATTAGAATTATTATCTATAATTGGTTGTGGCTTATCAATCTTTGGTGTCACCTTGATTGCGACCACTGCTTTCTTGTTTAATACCTGGCGTTCAGTATTTCGCAATCGTATGTGGCTTCAGTTATGTGTTGCATTATTGATTCTTTCGCTTTGTTTTTTATTAGTGGCGTTTGTTAAATACGATCAATACAGCTTTTCATGTTTGGTCACTGGAGTTGTTTTGCATTACTCCCTGTTGGCATCGTTCTGTTGGATGTTGGTGGTTGCCATAATTGCTTATTTCGACATGGTTGCAGTTCAATACACCATTGCAAATTTTAGTAGTATACCCAATAAATTACTAATAACATCAGGTTTTTCTTGGGCAGCCCCCGCAGTCGTTATTGCTATACTCCTTCTAATTTCTCCAAAGTCTTACGTGAGACGTTTCGAAGAGATGGCTCCTAGTGGCAGTTTCTGCTATCCTTCGGGACTTGCTTTGTGGTTGTCAGTTTACGCGCCCATTGCAATTATATTGGTGGTTAATTTCCTTGTATTTATATATACAATTGGGCATGTAACTTGGAGTATGCGTAATAGAAATTTGGGAAAACAAAAGATGGATAGTATGCAGGAAGCAATAAGATGTGCTAGAATCGGGCTCGTTCTTATGTTTTTGTTCGGTTTGCCGTGGATATTTGGACTGTTCGCGTACAAAGTGATTTGTGCATATGTTTTTACTGTCACCGTGACAACTCAAGGATTCCTCCTGTTTCTATTTATTGTATGTGGTAATAATGATACTAGAAATATGTGGTATAATAAGATCAAATTTACAACTAAATATAGGCGGCGATATTCACAGCGTACTATGCAAAGTGAAAATCCATATTAATATTTTAAAGCCAGTTGGAATTTTGCAACCAGAATTGGACTAGGTACTAATATATTATTTATTTAAAAACTACATAATAAGATATATGTACATAATGTGTAAATAGCATGTAGTAATTATTTAGGCTAAGATTAACTTCGAGGAACGAATAGCTCTGTTTTTATTTTTTATTAATTGTAATCATTTTCATTTGTTTATAAATATATTTTAATGAAATACTACGTTATATATAATATACCATGATTCATTTTATTTCAATTAAATTTATTTACCTTTAGGCAGTTGTGCTCAATGAATTTAATAAAAAAAAAAAATTGCATTACATTTGTAACATAGATTGTTTACAATAATAGTACTCGTAAAGCATCTATATGTATATATATAAATTAACTATAATACTATATAAACTACTTATAAAAACTGCTTATTTTAATGTACGGATTTTATATTAAAAAATAAAACTTCTTCACTGAGTAGCAAGATTTTTAAAAAACAAATTTATGTAAAGACATATGACATTTGAGGTTAAATCAGCCGTAAGATTTTGTTCCAAATCACATCCATATATAAATAAATTTACCTATATAAATTGAAAATGTTGTACCTATATTCAAATAATAAGTCTACGATTTCATGGAAGGTGTTCAGTACGTGGTCATGGCTGGAAAGAAGCCATATAGTATATTTAAAAAAAGAAAAAGAATGATTTGAATTTTTGCATACCATTCTTGTATCTCTTTGTGTTTTTTTTTGTAACCATAATTTTGTTATGTAAATAAATATAAAAGACACTAGTGGAACTATAAAAGTGGTATCATTTTGGAGTACGTCGTCTAGTACGAAGAAGTACAGTATATTATATTGTAAGAGTGTACTGTAAATTCAATGGAAAAATAGGGATTAACATGTCATATTTATTTTATATACATTGTATTAGTCCAATCATGTCTATAGGGGACGGTTACCGCTTTTCCATCAGATGGACGTCAGCTTGTTTGCCATTTTAAGTTGCATAAAAAATTTAAAAAACAAGAAGTTGTGGACTATCTTTCTAAGTTATTTTCAAATGCTTTATTCTCAAATGATATAGTTACTTTGTCTGTACTATCGTAAGCAATTGTAATCTGGTAATAATATTTTATAGTAGAAGGATTATTGTACCTTATTCATAACGCCTGCCATATTTATCAACAATAATTCACCAAATTACATCATTAGTATTCCACTTAATGTATTTTTATTTTCGTTTTTTGCTTTATTACTATTATTATTAACTGTCCACTGCCGAACTCAGATCGCACCCATAAAGGAGTTTATGCTAAGAGTTGCTATGCTTGCCAGGCTGGTTGGCAACCGCGGTTAAGCTTTATTGAAGTTTTAACAGAGACGCTGCTGCCTATTCTTCGACCATTAAATTCCCTCAGTCGCCTCTTACGACACCCATAGGAAAGGAAGGGGTGGTATATTCTATGCCGGGATCACACATCTCACTACATTTAAATAATGATGTAATCTATTTTGGGCGAAGAAAATTGTGTATCTATGGAATTGGTTACGTTTACAGGTCGTCAGCTTTTTTATTATTTTAATTTCCATAATTTCTGTTTGCTTTTCACATGAACTAGTTTTGCCGCGTGTGCTCCGGCATAGAATGGGCCACCCCTTCCTTTCCCGTGGGTGTCGTAAGAAGCAACTAAAGGAGGGCGAGGGATAACCAGCAGCGCCTTTCTTAAAACATCTTTAAAAGCCTAACTGTGGTTGCCAACACGCCTGCCAAGCTTGCCAACTACTGGCAAAAGTCCCCTTATGGGGAATGCTTATGTCTGTTAACGGCTAAAATAATAAATAATAATAAAAAAAATTAAATAGCTGGCAAAAACGACAAGTTCATATGGTAACCAATATAACATTATTCATGCTACTCGGAAGTGTTGCCTAAATTTGAGAAAAAAAAATCAATTTCTTAATCTAATTTAAAGAATATTATAATGAGCGTTCAAAAATAATAGATATTTGGGATAAAATAATATTTTGTAAGTCTCTTCTGGTATTCTGATTTATCATTGCCGAATTAAATAGAAGTACTACTAGAGGGAGACTTTGGACAAAAGTCGTCTGCATGGCTACTTCTGTCCCTCCTGTATTTCTGCCGTGAAATAGTTGTACTTGCATGACTGTGTTTCGGTTTGAGTGCTGGGATATAGCAGTGAAATTATACAGAGTATATAGGCATAACATCATAATTCTCAAGAATGACAACGCATGAGGTGTACTAAGGTTATGCCCAGTGTATTCTGTAATGTTCATGGTGCTTTTCATGTCTATAGGCGACGGTTACCACATTCCATCAGGTGGACTGTTAGCTTGTTTGTCATTGTGTTATAAAAAAAAAATATAAAGTTAATTTTAAGGATCAGATCTGGATACTTAGAAAAATTCATCGATTTTTTATACACTTTTTTTTTGACACTTGACAAAAAAAAAAGACATTTGACACTTACCTCAATGTATATCTATGAGGTGGGAATATTTGTAAAAAAACATTTGTATTTATTTACAACAATGACAGAATATAATAAATTCACACCCAGAGACCCCACACAACTGAAACTACCCACCTGTAAGTCAACGCTGCATCAACAAAATTGCGGTGTAATGGCTATTCGAATTTATAATAGGATACCAAAAAAAATAAGAGAATTGCCATTAAATTATTTTAAATTAAAATTGAAAACATGGTTAATAGAAAATAATTTTTACAATATTAATGAGTTTTTGTAAAATATAAATGCTGTGACATTGACTTAGTTGAAATTTAAATTGTAATTTTAATTTTATTTGACATTTTTATCATTTTATTATTTGTAGTAGCTTTATTGACTGTTTGTAATGCATGACCAAAGTGACACTTCGTACTAATAGTGATTTATTGTATATGTAATTGAGAATTAAATATATGATGTACCTGTATAAAATAGAAAATGGATAAATTCAATAATTAATATTTGCATGCCATTTGATGTGGCGAAACATAATGGACATCTTATAAACTTCACAAATGCAACACCTTTTCTACAATGTTTCTAGCAAATAAAATTTCATTTCATTTCATTTCATTTCATTTCATTTCATTTCATTTCATTTCATACCACAAAGGTGGGAAACAAGCATACCATCCGTCTAATGGTAAAAGAACACTGTAGCCTATGGACGCCTACAACACTAGGGGTGTCACGTGCACATTGCCGACTTGTGCAATTGGAATTGTGCAGATGGATATCTAGTTTTCTGTCTGGGCGAAGCATTAGCGTCTGTAAAAACGGCGTATGCTCCTATATCATTAACGCTGGAGTACCCTAAGGCTCTGTACTGTCACTCACACTATTTATCCAGCATATTAACGACATGCTGCAAGTTTCAGCGTTTATTATTTTGCGGATGACAGTACTTGTGACTTATAAAAGTAGTACTAATATCCTACGAACTGTATCGGGAGGGAGTAGAGGACAGTTAATGCTTGACCCTGAGGCATCTTTGGGGCGTATTTCGAAGTGGAGTAAACGTAATTTGGTGTCTTTTAACCTCTCAAAGATGCAGATCAGTGCATTTACTGCAAAGAAAGCCCCGTTTGTTGTGGTACCTAGATTCTTGGATAATCTTCTTAAAGCGTCTGAGAGCATTGGGTTCTTGGACTTGATATTTCGAACGACGTTTAATTCAGGAGTCATTTGGAAGGGAAAGAAGGGAGCATTTCATTTCTTAGCATAGACTCCTGCTTAACAAAGCCCAAATTCGCCCACATATGGAGTTTTGCTCACATCTTTGGGCAGGAGCACCCCAATATTAGCTCCTTTCACTTGATTCTATATAGCGTCGAGCGGTTCGAATTGTCGACGATTCCATGCTAACGAATGGTTTGGATTCCCTGAGTTTGAGGGTTCCATTCCTACTATTCCTTCTTATATGGGCTAACTGACCTGCCTTTTCATCCTCACCAATCATCCCTCAATGATGCCTCACCAGCGTATACCGTTAGCGCAGGCGGGGTTACCATACCATTTTCACCCATCAAAAAAACAAAAAAATTACATTATTTGTGACTGGCGCTATTGCAAAATAAAATTTCCTGTGAGATACATATTTAATCGCTTAATCTTATCCATCCTTCTCACACCGCATATCTGTCTTTTATTATTATATTTGGAGATTATATTTGGTATTGTTTATTTATGAACATAATTTATTTTCCCATTAACGTTTACATTTATACGAAATTAATTTGTTAAGTAGCATTAGATAGATAGATAATTTATTTGCATTACTTACAGCACACAGATAACAACAGACATAGACAATAAAAAGAGATAAAAGAATGCATATAGAAAAAAAAGTAAAATATAAGTAGTAAAGTAAGTAATAATGAATTTACTTGTGCTTAATTGATTTAAAAAAAAATATTTTCAATTTCGTCGTAATTTTTTTGTTTGTTACCAAAGAATTTCGTCATTTATCCCATAAAAACAAATCATCTTTTATTATTTTATATTAAGTATATTATATATCTTTCTAATATCCGTCAATATTTAAAAACAAACAATTATATGTAAAATAATTAAATATAATCTGACATCTAAATTGACATCAATGCATGCTTATATATTAACTACCTATCAATATAATTTTGCTACATTCAAACGGGTTTTGTGTACTCTACATGAGATACATTATAATAAATAAATTATTATTATTATAATAATATGTTGAATAGTGAACTCCCTTCCGAGGTTTTCCCTAGAGACTACAGTATGGGTTTTTAAACACAGACACCCCTAGCATAGTATGAGCCTAGTATATATGGAGAGAAATATAACTCGCCCATAATAGGGCATTTCATTCAGATGCTGTTCTAGTCGGCTGGCTCATATCTGAGTGAATTGCTCTAATTAATGTTTACTTAAACATAGTTTGTAACGAAACGAAACGAAACGAAACGAAACGAAATGAAATGAAATTTATTTGCTAGAAACATTGTAAGGAAATTGTTACAAACAGCATAGACCAAATTGTAGTCTGAATAATAAAGTATTATTATTATAGTATTTTATTATCTGTGCCCCTAGTGTTGCAGGCGTTTATAGGTTACAACAATCGTTTACCATTAAGCGGGCTGTATGCTTGTCTGCGTCTTTTGTGGTATAAAGAAAAGTTACCAAGGGAGACTTTGTACAAAAGTCGATTGCGTGGGGCCCTCTGTCCCATTCGTCAACATTCGACAACAACTGAGTCCTCAGGAATGGCAACGCATGGGGGGTATCATGGGCGAAACAGTATATAGGCGACGGTTACCACTTTCCATCAGGTGGGCCGTCAGCTTGTTTGCCATTGTAAGTTGCATAAAAAAAGTTTATTATTAATTTGCCTTGTTGGAAACTTGTTGAACGCCACTTCACAGTAATTTATGTCTACACTTAATGCACCTTTAATTTTCCGCATTATTACATAATAGGTTTTTTAATGTATGATTATGGAATGGCAACCCTACTTGCGCTGTCGGTATATGCTAGCAGGACACCAGTGAGGGATGATAGGTGAGGATATAACCAGGTCAGTTAGTCCACCGTGACGAATTTAACAATGAATCAATCACGATGATTTCCAGAGGGAACCGCGTGGAGGTCGACCTGATATATTGCTAGCAATGGGATACTAATCACCTTTATTAACAATCCCTTCTCCTCCTACAGAATAGGTTCTTTTCTTCTCCTCCTACTTAATAAATGATAATGAAATGTCAACCAGTGAGGGATGATAGGTGAGAATGAAAATCGGGTTAGGTGATGAATTTAGAATTTAGTATGATGGTTTCCAAGGGCAACCACGTGGAGGTTAACCTGATACGGAATATTCTAGCAACATCTCTCTCTCATTACTAACAATCTTTTTTTCCCTAAAATAATAAGTTAGGTACTTGTACATAGCATTCCCATCGTAAGAGGCGACTAAGAGAGGGCGAGGGATGGCAGGCATTAAAACATCTTCAAATTTTTTTTTTTGATGGGTGGGGGGGCCTGCGTTAACGGGATACGCTGGCGGAGCACCAGTGAAGGGTGATAGATGAGAATGAAAACAGCTCAGTTAGCCCATCATGATGAATTCATCAGGAATTAACCATGAAGTTTCCAGGGAGAACCGCGAGGAGGTCGACCTGGTTTGTGTATATTGCTA